TCGACTCAGAGCCCAACACAAGAGGTACTGTACCAAATTGAACTCTTACGGTACTAAACTTATCCAAATGTCTCCTCTTAACTAGTTCTGCACTCTCCTGCAAAATATACAACTATGATCTTCTTTGTTCCTCCAGTACAATTCGGACTTCCTTTCGGACCATCGAGACTCCACCTCCTCCGAAAAATTTATACTCTTTTGCATCCGGGTATTTAGCGAAATGAGATTCCTTTTCAGGTTAGAAACATGTCGAACTTGATCAATTGTTCTAAATGTTTCATCCCGTAGCCTCAATCTAACTCGATCGATCAATACAGCAAGATTGGTTGTTTCCCATTACAACTTCATATGTCTGAAATAAATTCCTATCGGAACACATATAGTGCGAACACGTTGAATCAAGAATTCACTCCTCATTAGACCTAGATCCCACGTCAGATACCACGGTTAATATCACCTCTTCTCTATCTGAACAATTCTCAAATGGGTTTTGTCTGAATTCAAAGGTTGTACCCCACAATTTGTACTAAATCACCTTTAGCCTGCAACATATCGCAATCCTTTGGAATATATCCCTTCCTTTTGCAGTCGTAACAGGTCACATTGCTAAATCTAACTCTCGATCTGCCTCTTCGTCGACCACCTTAAGATACAAAAGCTTCCCCATCCCTTGATGTAACTCCAATCAAATGATTTATCTCCTCCTTTGAGTGCAAAGCATCATAGACATCTTTTATAATCAAAGTATCTCGACTATACAAGATAGTATCCCGAAATAACGCATAAGACCTAGGTAGCGAACACAACAAGATCAAGGCGAGATCCTCTTTATCATACTTAACCTCCAATGTCTTCAGATCTGCAACTATTTTCTTGAACACCGCAATATGGTCTTCCAATGACTCTCCTTCCGCCATGCAATGGAAATAAAGCTTCTGCTTAAGAGCCAGTTTACTTGTAAAACTCTTAGTTATACACAATTACTGTAACCTCAACCACAAAGCAGCCGCCATTTTCTCGTTCGAGACATTCTGCAGAATGTTGTTGGATAGATAAAAATAAATCAATAACATAGCTTTCCGATCCTTCCGTTGTTTCTTCTCCGTTGTTCATCCAGCTGGTATCCTCTCAAAATCCAGCAACACATCGTCCAAATCCAACTGTGCCAGAATAACCCTCATCTTTACTTGTTACAAAATAAAAAAAAAAAAAAAAAAAAAACTTGTATTACGATCTAGCAGTGGAATGTCATACTTCATGGTAGTTATCTTTGAAAAAATTTCAACCAATCTACAGTAGAAAAATCAAGCTTTGATACCACTTGTTGGGCGCGAAAGCTCCAATAATACACGTTGATTCCAAACCAAATTTTAAGGAATGAGATTATACGACAATATTGAAGTATACTAGATCACACAACGGAAAAAAAAAAGATTTAAAAGTAAACAAAACACAAAGGGATTAATGCAGATAACGATATTTATTAAACCGACCAATATGGAGAATACAAGACAAACTAACAATACTACTTCTATCTTACTCTCTACAAACTAACCAGATGAGTCTCGTTTTTATATGTTAATCCTAAAAGAGTCCTAAAAGGCAAGAAAATATATTACGGTTAGGATACCCAATTTCAACAGGATTTTATTTCCTTATTCAACTTAGTTTTCTTGAAACCCTAGGTTAATATTCTCCTAATTCAAATTGAATACGCCTCTTCAAAAAACTCCTATTTAAGTCATACTCCTAACAAAAAGTCAATAATTATTTTTAATTATATATTTCATGAGACTCACAACTTTTGAACTATATACTTTATCAACTTTTATTAAAATATACTAAAAATTTGACTTTTATCTTTGCCAAGGCGCTAAATAAATTCAAGTCTTCATATGTTAAATATTCATCGGTATGATTTGACTAACATTTTCAGAAAAGATAAATTGAATTTTTTTTAAACTTAGTTAGGCGAGTACGACTCATGCTAAGTACGGTCAAATTATTTTTCTTTGTAGAATATGAATATCTACTCAACCCCAATTGATTTGTGCTATGATCGAGTTGGATAGGGAGGGACTTTGAGACAATTGAACTTGTTAGCTTAATTTGACTTTAGTTACTCTTTAAAAATAATAATAATAATAAAATAATAAAATTAATGTACTTTTGACAAAATCATTCTTCGTGCTAATCATTGCTAATCAACTTTCCGACCTCATATGAGAATGAAAAACTAGAGTTTTTTCTGTATTGGTAGATGAATATCAAGAAATCAATTTTATTTATTTATTTATTTATTTATTTCATCATGGTGACAAGAGAAAGATATGTTCAAGAAAGGACGAGCACAACTGAAGTGCTATGCATACAAATTTATTTACGAATCTATATGTTTCAGTTGAAATTGAAAGTCCGAGAACATACGATTGGTAAATTATCATAATAAAACTGCCTTTTATTTTATATTTTGATCGAATTTATGTTGGCTTCATTGGGAGGCTCTGGCTCGTGTAGTTGTGTATAGTTGTTACGTCTGCTCCGAAAAGATAAGTTGTGTTGAGTTCATAATCACATAAAAGAAGTACACAGTTTTTATACAGTAAAAGTAAAAGAACGGACTTTTTTTTCATCTAAGTTTGTCAAAAAAAAAAAAAAAGTGCTACCTATTGTTACTGTGCCCTTGTAGAAGCAATTGTGTCAATTTTCTTAATATTGGATTGGTTGACAGGCTGATAGATCGCTGAATTTCCCCAACACCGTTGATGCATTT